CCCACCGACAGCACTCACAGCCCCATCAACCCAATCAATAGCACACCCTACCAGCCTCCAAGGCCTCACGTCAACCTCCCGACCAAGCCCATCCCACCAAAGCCCCATCAGCCCAACCACTCGATCAAGCCCAAATGACACGTGAGAAATCTTGTATTATTTTGGGATTTAATTTACATATTTGAGTATTTGATTTTAGTGTATTATTCAAGTTTTCTCACGTATTTTATTTTATGAACGGACATACACCAATAATCGATTTTGTGTCTATTTTGCAGTTACTACACCTATTTGTGACATGACATTGATGAAGTGGCAAATGGGACATGCAAGAATGTGGATTATACTTAAAGCACACGTTGGGCTCTTAATTTAATTCATGGGACTTTGGATTAATTACTTGTGCAAGTGAATTATTTTTGGTGGTCTCTCACTGTTGACCGGATAGAGAATTTGTAGTGGCATGGACTCATTTTATTTAAGGATTGGGCAAAGGAATATTATTTGGTGGGGACTCTTAATTGGTGAGGGGCTGATTTGGCGTGGCATCAGGGAGTTGGAGAGAAAAAGTACAAAATAATTGAGGGTCATGTTGGAGCATTAAGCCGTGGGATAGAGACCATTCCAGGGAGTTTGAATTACTTTTTTTATTTTGCTTTTCGATTTTATTTGAAGAACATGATGGATATTTATTTTTGCTTTTATCCTTTCGCTATGTGTAGCTAAATATTTATTCAGTTCTAGAGACGTTGAACCCTCGATGACTACGTTTGATTAATGCAATTTATTTCGTTTTACTCGTCGTATAAAATTGTTTGTGTTATTCTAGTTTCATGTCATAATGTGTGATTTTTAATTTAGCTTGATCACCTAAGTTAGGAATTGCATGTTAATTGCTAGATTTGAGGCTTCGATCCGTAATTGTCGTCGCTCTTATTTCGTTTGTAGCAACTAGCAGTCGTGCATTGTTAGGGATAGCACAACATAAGTTACATGAACCGAGCTTATGTGTTTGTGGCTTAGATCGGTCTATTTTCCTAGATTTTAATGCGGCTAGTGGGTTAAATTAGGAGAGCTTATTCCGAGTTATTCGGTAGCTAGAATTAATTGAAGAGCCTATTTCGATTAAGTATAAATTAAGGAAAAATTCGGGTAGCAGAGCTTATTGCTATCTAGGACCGGTAGTTTTAGAAAATGAGTGAAATTTGATAAAAGCATTAATTGGGCTAGTTATTCGAGGGTGTAGACCGACCTGGAACCGATTCCATTCTCATCTTTGCTAGATTATTTTTATTTATTTTCCATTCCATCATCATTTGCATTTTAGTCATTTATTTCTAGTTTCTAGTTTAATTTCTCTTTTTGTTAGTAATTTCGTTTCTAATCACCCCCCATTTTTATTATAATCTAATTAATATAATAAATTCACGGTTTATACCACACTCCCTGTGGGATCGACCCTTGCTCGCCACTACTACTAGTTAGTAGGGGTAAGTTAGGAAAAATTATAAATTCAAATTTGCCGTGTAACGACGCGCGGTCAA